CAATTTGTGCATTTTTTCAACTTGACTTTTTATAAGAAGTAAATTTCACATAGGTTTCCAAAAAAACTCAAGACTATATATAACATATATATAATATGTTTTGTGCATGTTCAAAATAGTCGTCGTGCGGTGTTCCCACTACGTCCTAGGTCGCCCTGGGAACGCCTGCCGTTCGCAAGTCCAGTTTGGCGGGGGTGTATAAATTTCATTATTTTAAATACACACACAGAAACAACGTTTCTATCATCATAATTATAAAGATAATTGTCATGCAAGAAGTTGTATCATCACAATTCAAGTTGTAAGCTACAGTTTCCGTATACACAGGCAGAAAAATCTAAAATTCGAGGACAGATTACCAGTTTATTATTCTGTCTATATCTTTATGATCTTTATATGTACATCTTTAACTATTACATTTCATGAACATTCTAAAAGTGTGGTTTGTTGATATTTTCAATGACAATGTAAAGGACAGCAAGGATTTAAATTATTAAGATATTTCGTTCAAAGACGAGTATTTTTTACGAGAATATGTCATCTTATCCGATTCAAGAAAGCTATACATATGTTACATATTTAAGAAAAAAATCCGAAAAATGATTACTTTGTTGTATGGTGAAAATGATAAAATATGAGTAAGATTTAACTTTCGAATGTATGCTTACTAACCTTCAAATTATGTAGTTTATGTAGTAATTAATTAAGTAGTTTATGGAAAAAAATGCGTCTTTGTTCATAAATATTTGTGGAATTTTGATCATATAATTTTGTTTATTCCTGTTCGCTGCCTTTTTTCCTTTTTTATTTTTCCTTAAGCCCATGCATTCCTTTCCTTATGACTTGTATCATTGCAATGTGGATTTGATCTTCATTTATTTGAAGAAATACCATTGAAATGGACATCAAATTGTTCCGTGTGCCTTATAAATATTCATTTGTAATAAAAACGTTGACTTACATTATTGTGGTTTTAAAAATACCAGGCTTTTCGTTTTGCCTTCATATTTTTATAGAACACAGGAGTGTTCATTTCAACAGATAACTTTAAGGATCGGCTGGCAAGTACAAACATAATTATATAGGTACAATGGTAAAACTGATTTTCTAAAATGTAGTTTAAATGCATACATCATAAGAAAAACATAAATATTCATTGGTGAAACAGTTTGAAAGGATCGATAGGTAACAACTCTAGATTTTTTTCTATAAACAACAACAACAAAGCAGCAACAGCAACAACAGAGCAGCAACAGCAACAGCAGTAGCAGCAGCAACTGCAACAACATCAAAACAAACAAGCAATTTTGAGTGTGTACATACTGTCTGTTATAAATCTATTTATTATAGTCTTACTATCGCTATAAGTGGTATAAACCTATTGACGGATTGTATTGTAATTCATTTTCAGAAAACAAAACGACAATAAAATAAGAAATCTTAGTAGATCACATTCATTACTAAATTTGAATGAAATGGATTAATTGTAGCATAGACAACATATTTAGAATCTTTAATAATGACTTTACATATCATGTTTTTGTTAATAAAGGAATTGATTTATAAATATTTGACACTATGTATTCTTAAAAAAAAATCTTTTTTGAAAAAAATATTTGTTTATTTATGTATTTTGACAAACGTTCTTTTAATCACGTATTTCATATAAACAACACGAACTACTGCGTATTCTAAAAACAAAATAATAAAAAGACAGCAAAAAACTATATACTATTGCAAAGTATTTATTTTTAATATATTGTACTATTGCATCAGATCAGTTGATATAATTATTTATCATTTTGTCTTTTTAAAAAAAACGCATTTGCAAATGCAAAGTGAATAATAAAGATTTGATATATAAATGTGTTTAAATAATGTGTTGTGGAACATCTAATCTATTGTATGTAGCATTTATTAAAAGGTATGAATGATTGGATATATTATAATTATAATATTTTCATAAATGTACGACTAAAGTAACACGTTTTGTAATAATTGGTAGATTGATTTCGAAAGGAATACCCCTTAAATTAATATAATTAGATTTTTTTGTTCGTTTATTTTTTTCTGTATGTTTTACGCCTATTTTAATACATTTTGGTCATAAATGTATCGCGGCGGTGTTTCCGACTTAGCGGATAAGATGGCGGACTATTATAATTCGTTCTTACGTAATTGAAAAAGAGATGGTTACAATATATCTATGCATTTCTTTAAAAAATCATCTTTTGATACCCACGGCCGAACCATTAATTACATGTTGTGTAACATGTCAATCATGGGTATAAGACGATGTAAATATTCTACTTGTTTGAAAAGAAAATAAACGTAATATCTTATATAAATTATATTTCTATATAACTTTCTTCTAAAGTTAACATTTAAGACTGAAACGATAAGATATCTCGAGTACACTAGTTAATTAAACGTTGCAGATAAATAGTTATTGAATCAATAGAGTATCATTCATTAAGTTAAACTTACCACTGTTAATCTCACTTTCTTACTGGATTAATATTTTTGAAAAATCCAATTTAAAAGATGCGTGTATATGCATAAAGTTTGTATGAAGCAAAGTTATTGCATAATGTAATGATAACCTGATTTATTTTATCAATACAACTTAAATGTTAGCATTTTAAGTTTACACTATGTTTGGTTAAGGTGGTATACCAATGAATAGCCAGCCCAATCATAATTGTTTACATACATTGTAATTGTAGTGGAACGGTCTTTTGGATTGTAATCGAATCAAAATATGACAAAAAATACAAAATGATCATTGTTAAACAGGAAAACCATTAATAAAACAGGATGTTTATTAAACCTTTAAATCTAGTCCAGATATAGCTTAACACTTGAAACATTTATTTGTAAACTGTAGTGTATTTGTTAGATTTATCCAATATAAAGTTTGCATTAAACACAGTCTTTAAAGACAATGCACACTTCCCATTTATTTAAAAGAGTAAGACAGACAGTACGAACTCAGTGTGCATTTAAAATTGACAAAAAAAAAAAAAAAAAAAAAAAACATAACCGAGAAGCACTTTTTATAGATACGGGAATACGGGAATTGTTATTATTAACTATGTTTAATGACTCTATTTTCTATGCCATACCAAGTAAAAACAATTTTATTTTGTTGATCGTTTAGCGTTAATCGCTGTCCGTGCGTCTGCGTATTTTATTTGTTAAAGTGTGCGTATAACTTTCGTTCGTTTAGCCTGTAAAGTGCGTGCGTATTTTCCAGAGCGTGCGTTTTGCATGTAAACAACATATGAGCCGCGCCATGACAAAACCAACATAATGCCTTTCATGTTGCTTTTTTTCCAAATCCCATTTACAAAACCATGTGAAATTTAAAAAATTTGTCAGTTCAAATATCAGCAAAACATGTTGACCCTTACCATTATACACAATATTATCCAATATATACAAAATCAACCTCTGGTTTTATAATAATATTAAAACACTAAATGACTAAGGTTTAATATAAATTTCTGTATTTCTGTAGTGATCAATTATTGTAAATATGACTTTCGCAATGAAATGAAATACAATGTTTAAATTGGTTTTTACGTTCTTCGTATTGTATAAAAATAGATTTTATTTCACATAAAAGGTAAATGATATAACTGGATATATTCTTAAACCTGTAGCTACCGACAAAATCGAACTAAAATTATTTCCGTATCAAAAATTAAAAAAGTGTGTAACATCACATCCTTTTTTTAAAATTTCGTGTCTCAATAAAATTCAAATGTAATAAAATGCTATGTCAGCATATTGTTTTAATCAGTAAATCTACATTGTACTCGTAGTCTATTTGTCTCTTAGGTATCGTTGTAAACACGCGGGCAGAAGATTATGATTATATGATTTATTAGATATAATTTAAGATATATAATAGATTTAACCAACAGCTATTTTTCTTTCAGATAAAGTTAAAATAGGAATGATTCCTGAAGACAAGGGTGTCCGCAGCAGACGACCGTTTACTTCAATGTGGATATGGTTGATCGTGTTCAACTTTTGCGGCTTTTTGGAAAACCCATATGAAGAAAAGAATGTCATCGCACCTGAATCTTATTCATATATTTCTTACGCATCAAAAAAACAATCGAATATCCTATGGTTAATCTCCGTTCATCGATGTAACGGTAAAACAGGAATATCACAATGTGAAAAAGAAAACACCAGTTTATTCTTGTTCCAAACTTCAAGCGAAAACTTTACAGAAAAAAATACTAAAAGTCATAAAAGTGTTTATATCGTTATTTCTCAAACTTTTCAAAATATATTCAGCAAACAGCGATGCTTGAATAATTTAAAAGTAAATTTATCAGAAAATATCTCATATGGCAAAATATGCAGCAGAAAATTTGCAAGTCGTTTCTGTTGTAACAGCTTGGGTATGGCACCTGAAAGTTTCTTAGCAGTTTTCATAGTAGCCTATGTACTCCTTTCATATAAAAAGTCATACTTTTCGACTCATGATATTAAAGAACAAGAAAAAAGTTCATATGACTTTGTATTTGAATTATTGTGTAAACAAAATCTGAAAATAGATGTCTATCACTTTTCATTGAAAAAATATGTCAATGGAATAGACAAAAAAATTGACAAAAACAGTAAGCACATGGTATATGAATGGGCTAGATTAGAATCTTTTCAGACATTTCCAAAACAGTGTCCAGTCTCAACTCTTCGACTTGCTCAGACAGGGTTTTACTCTACAGGGAAAGGAGTAGAGGTGATTTGTTTCTGTTGTGGATTAAAAAATGAGCACTGGACCGAGAACGAAACTGTGTCAGAATTACATAAACGACTGTCACCACATTGTAAGTTCATAAGAGGTGAAGACACGGAAAATGTTCCAATACATGGAGTAAACGAAGTGAAACGCAACGACACAGAAGGTGCTTGTGGAGGTCCTAATAATGGTCCAGAAAATAGAAGAAATCCTAACCAAGAACACATGAGAAAAGTGGGAAACAAACCAACGATAGCATGCGTTGTAACAAAGAAACAGAACAAATTTCACACAAAATTACACGCGTAAATAATCAGCATCATTCCGTTCTTGAAAATGGAAATGTTCACATAACGTGTGACAATGATATAACAGAAGAGATTCAGTATTTTCCAGGTATACCAAATGAGCAACCAAAACGCCCAGAATATGCTATCAGAAGCGAACGACTGTTATCATTTTCTGCCTGGTCTTTTAGTAATATCGTGAAACCCGAAGCCTTAGCAGAAGCCGGATTTTTCTTTACTGGTAAGGTTTAAACTTTATTCTTTTATTTTGTATATTTCTACATTATTTTAGGATGTCTTCATACACACTTGTTGTATTTAAATGTTTTTTTTTAAATGAAGCAATGCTATTTATGTATAGTAAGAATCCTTTCTTAAAAGCATTCCATGATTATAAATCAATACTAATAACCATAATTCACTATTTTTATTCAAGATACAATGTTCAAGATTTTTAGATTACTTTTTCAACTGTTATCAGCTTTTATCAAAGTAAAATTCATTAATGAGTTGTCTTACGGACTGCTTATCAACATTCCCTCGTTGATTCCAAAATGTCTTATCTGTATTAAATGCTAGGTAGCAAGTACTAATGCAATATTTAAACCTTATAATATGCAAAAGATAGTTTTGTCTTCAATAATATATTTATAAAATCATTTATAATATATATTAGAAATGCAAGATCTGGTGAGATGCTTTTTCTGTGGCGGTGGAATGAAGAACTGGGCGTACGGAGACAATCCTTGGATTGAGCACGCGAGATGGTTCCGGGCATGCGCATACTTAAAACAATGCAAAGGAGAAGATTTTGTTAATTTGTGCCAAATGTCAAGTATGACATTTCCAACACAGAATAATTTTGTAAGTATTTGTAGGTACTTTTTAAAAAGGTTTTTACAAAAATACAAAATGAATAAAACAATGAATTATAACTAGTTTTCTTTAAATTCTAAAAAGATACATGTATTTCCCCTTTTTAGTTACAGAACGGCAATCACCTGATAACTATTGTAAAAACTGTTGACGAGGTGAAACAATTAAATATTTTTATAATTTTAGCAATTGAGAGATTTAGATTCTCATCGAACAACAATTGTAGAAGATCATGAAATTGTAGATCTTAACAGTATTGCAGCCAAACGTGTATTTAAAATGGGATACAGTCAAACACAGATTGAAGACGCTATCCGGCATACTAGGCTTGTAGTAGGTAATACATATTTTATATCATTCTATGTTTATGTTTATTTAATCTAAACTGTTTGATATAGAGAATAAAAAAAGAGTTGTCAGTAAATTATATAAAACTGTTGATTCGAAGTACAATTCTTATTCCATCAATTCATGTATTAATTTCATTATATCAGGTCAATCAGGTGTTCTCAAGGCGCAAACTCTTCTAGAGTATCTCCTAGACAATTGTCATATAAACGCTGACGTCACTAGTTCACTTACATTGGCAGCAGAAGATGATCAAAATAACACACGAAGTACCGAGGAAGATGTACCATTCTCGAGCGAATCAAATACCTCCAATAACACAAATGGTCATACTGCAGTGGAAGCAGAAGACATTGAAGGTATATTTTGTCTAACTATTTTTTTTAACTTTTCCTGAATAATATATTATAAACTTTCCAAATACCATATAGATACAAAATGCAACATAGATACTGAATTCTTGGTTCAGACAACATTAACGATGTAACTTCAATAATTATACATACCAACTCAATATGACTTTTATTATATCATTCCAGAGAGACAGTCATTGAAAGAAGAAAATCGGTTATTGAAAGAACAAATGATGTGTAAAGTTTGTATGGATAAAGATGCAAATACAGTTTTCCTTCCATGTGGACATTTAGTAGCTTGCGTTGATTGTGCGAAAGTGCTGAGAAAATGTGCAGTGTGCCGGAAAATAATTCAAGGGACTGTACGGGCATACCCCGCCTAAAAACATGAAGCATACAATTACGACGCAACATGCTGTAGCAGCAGCCTGAATTTATAAATATTATATTGTGCCAAATGTATCATATCATAATTTAATTAAATGTAAGTTGTATTTATGTTATTTGTTTCTATCATTTTGTATACAACTGTTATAACATAAATTGAAAATGTATTGCGTATTTTTGTTTATCTTGAGCGAATATCTTGGATATCACACTAAGATGTATTTTGCAATATTTTCATGAGAACATAGCGCGAATGAAAATGTATCTGTTTTCTTTCTTTCGTGTGCGATATATAGAATATTTACGTAAACTTACACAAAATGCTGTTAATGATATGCCTTATCAGTAGAATAAGCGTAATTTAAGACTGTTTTCAGTGAAGTACGGTAAACAAAACACATAAAAAAGATGACGCTAAGCTATGAGTGTAAAGTTTCTTTCTCACGGAAATAACGGCTTGACGGGGTTTGAACCCACGCGGCCAGCCTTAGATAACTAGTCCGACGTGTTGACCACTCGACCATTTACATTTAGTAAAAAAAGTTCGGGTGCCGTTAGTTAAAGCAATAATAAAGCCCGGTTTTAAGTAACAAAAGAAATCGTTTAAACCGACATTCCGTGTTAAATTTTTACAACAGTTTTCTACTATTTATGCTTACTTGTTGTAATGTATTAAATAACATTTAATATCAATGTCATTCAATTCAACACATTATTTCACAATATTTTATCATACGCATGTATAAGCTATTTTTATCTACTAGTACTTGTACTTATATTTGTACTTGACGTTTTAACCTTGGCGTAATAAATGTTCCTATTTTCGTCACTTTTTTAAATTGCACAACAGTTTTCTTTAATTTGAATTCGAATTTTTTCTGCAGTACCTTGGTTAAATAAAGACACTTTACGTTTTTTATAAACTTTCCTGCTATACAGTAGTCAAAATTGTTTTTGTTATTAAATCAATTTTGTATTGGGTTTGTCTTATATGCTTATATATAGGTGCATTGTTGTTCTTTATGATTCTGAATTATCATAATTACTGGTTCACATACAGAATAATTATTTGTTTATCAAATGAATAATACAAACATATTCAGTTTTCAAGATTAACATATCACAATGCAATATGAACACGTATTTACCTACTGTTATTTTGCATTGGGTCGTGGCAGTAAGTATAGATAGGAAATACATTGTAGTGGTGTAAAATCAAGGCAATATATTGTATACAACTTGGGTACGTTGAATTAAAAACAGTTTGTTTTTTCAAAACTTTTAAGATTGTTTACGATTAACAGCACGCCTATCTTTGTTATGAAATAATAAAATAAAGTCGGTCAATGTCCTAAATGCTGTATCTACGTGAAAGTCAGTCTCGAGAGGTATATTTGTAAACATCTTGAATGTTTTCTTTTATTTAATGCGTATTTCTATCAGCTACACTCGATTCTTTGGGTGGATATTTTGTTTTTAATAGTGGATTGAGAGCATAATTGAAGAAAATAGCACTGAATTTATGTGTCGTAAAGGTAGTAAAATAAAGAAGAGTATTTTGACTTCCATACAAAATACTAAATAACTGCAATTATAACAATTGCCAAACAGCAAAAGAAGCACAAGATTGTCTACAAAGCCAATTAGTAACTTTTGGAAACAATAACAAAATACCAAACACTACAAAGTTATCATCGGTTTTCATTTTTAATGAATAATTCATTTACCACATAGCCGTGCGGCTTTTGCAAAAAATCCGTTTATCGGACGGCCGTGTATATTCTTTGACGTGACGTCATTTCGGTATACAAACATACTAGCTAAAGACTTCTTAATAATAGCGTTGCACTATACACATTTGGAAATGTTTATGTTTTACTCTTTACAGATCTTATTTGGATATGTGATAAATAGAATATTATATCCGTCCAGCTAATGATCGAATTAAATAGAATAATATTGATATAATCTCACGTATATACTCAGATCGTACATATTTACCGGCATTGTATACATTTTGCATGTACCGGTAAACGCTTTTTTTGTTAATTTGAGAGACCGACAACCATAAATAATGTCAGAATTATATTATAAAGATTAATGATTTGTTTCATAAATTGTCTGCATATTTTCTTGTACACAGCGTACATTTAACTAGAAAGTTGCATTTATTGTAATTTTACACAGGTGTATTTGTTGGTCGCTAATGCATTATGAGTTGTATAATTTTCGTGGTCAATAGCAATTGCTGCCGAAACTTATTAAACAAACTGTTTCAAAGTTATGTTTCATCAAAAGCAACAAACTTATAGCCATTCCATGGTACTTGTCACTTTTCTCAACATTATATGTATAGATTTATCATATTGTTATGTAAACTTTCATAGAACTTAAGCTAAGAATTGTTGATGTTCAGACGTTTGGTTGTTTGACATCGTACTTTGTGTATGGAAATGATCGTTTCCGAACTCATGATAAATTTTTGTACTTCGAACATAGTCCACCAAACAAAAAGTACAGTTGAACATTTTTAGAACCTTTTTTGTTTTTGTTTTCTCAAATTTGGTATACATAGGCCAGAAAACGATTTATTTCATACAGTTTTCATTTATTTTTTGTTTCACATTAATACGGTCACTGACTCGACCAAACTTTATACTTACGTTTCCGAATTTTGAATAGAAATTAAACGGCAGTCGCAGGAATAATTTATGTGAAGTCTATATAAGATATAGCTATAGGATATTTAGGACTGACTCATATACATGTGTTGATGTTTTTTTTACAGTACTGTTATTTGAATATTTGACATTTGAATTTATTAACAGTTTACCACTAATTGAAATAAGTAAATTGTGAACAGTCTTTCTTTTTTTGTGACTCAATTTTTATCTTAAACTGTTATACTTCAAGAAGAGAGGAATTATGTTAACGAAGTGCAACAAAACGACACAGAAGGCGCATGTGGAGGTCCTATTGATGGTCCAGAAAATAGAAGAAATCATCACCAAGAACACAATGAGAGAAGTGATTCAGAATTTCATTAATATCGTGAAACCCGAAGCCTTAGCAGAAGCCGGTTTTTTTTCACTGGTAAGGTAATCATATCATAATTTAATTAAATGTAAGTTGTATTTATGTTATTTGTTTCTATCATTTTGTATTCAACTGTTATAACATAAATTGAAAAAAAATGTATTGTGTATATATTTGTTAATCTTGAGCGAATATGTTGGATATCGCACTAAGATGTGAGTATTTTGCGAAAATAGCAGGAATTAAAATGTATCTTTTTTCTTTCTTTGGTTTGCGATATATAGAATATTAACATAAACTTACACATAATGATGTTAATGATATGCCTTATAAGTAGAATAAGCGTAATTGTTGACTGTTTTCAGTGAGTTATGGTAAAAAGATGACGTCAGACGTTAAACGGACTCGCGCAAACAATTTTTTAAGTACATTGTAATTTATATTTGAAGTCACTTTTTGCGGAATAACTTTTATCAATTTTAGAGATATTATGATATTTGAATCGAAAAATATGACATTTAGAACTAGAAGCAAGTTAACTTTTACGAATATTTACAAATTTACGTAATTATAAAAATTAAAACGTCCGGCAAAACTATATCACCCACACTGTTGGTGATATACTGTGGGTGATTTTATCACTCGACTAAACCAAATAGCTCACTGGTTAGCGTAAAATTAAATGTTATATTGAGCCAAAAGTATCATAAAAGTATTTAATTGGTTGTTATTTTTGTATTGATGATATTTGTTTTAACTTTTTTTATCATTTTTTTCTGTAATTTTGAAATAATTTTCATCCACATTTGGTTGACAATGAATCGCTCTCACAAATTTCATCATCATTTACATATAATATCTTTCGTATTATTATTACAATGTGGACAAAGTGATTAATAATTTATTCGAATTCTTTGCTAAATCTTATAAATGTACTTTTCTGTCCATTTTGTTATGATTTTATTTTTTTATTTGTGTCAGGAAATACGTCCATCTTTAGTCTGGTATTGCTGTTTTACCAATTATCACAGTTTAGAAAGTACAGCAAATTTTAGTACATGAACTTAAATAAAAACTTCTTTTATGTTTATTTGTTTGGTATACAGTTGTATTTAAAAAAAATCAATGCAAACTTAATCCTGTGATACTTTATTTTATTCTTGAAACATTGAGCTATTGTACTATTTAGAGTCATAACAGTATGCACCTCTTTTAATATTTCCAAAAATCGTATTTTCTTATATATATAGTAACGATTTGCATTTTGTTTTAGTTCATACTAATTTATTTTAGTTTGATCGTGTTGGAAGCCATCAGCTTATTGAAACACTTTTGAATATGTTCCTGGAACAAACTAGTACTAAGCTGTGAGTGTTAAGTTTCTTGCTAACGTAAACAACGACTTGTCCCTGAAGGGGTTTGAAGACATGTTGTCAGCAGTCCTTAGATAACTAGTCCGACGCATTAAACATTCGGCCATATAAAATTTAAATCACTATTAAGGAGAAACAGTGTAGGTGTCATTAGTTATAGCAATAAAAAAGCACGATTTCAAGTATCAAAGAAGATGTTTTAGCCAACATTCCGTGTTAAATGTATATATACTAATTATTTAAAATAATTTATACAGTTGACTCCCGGGCGGCTTGACATTTAAAGCACTATTTAAATATTTCAGATTAACATTTTTCTTTTTTTCTGCATATTTTTAATATAAAAGTTGTAGTTCAGACTTGATGTTCAAGTCAGATTTTTTGTTTTGAAATCACATTACAGTTCTGTCCAGTTGAATCTTTCATTTTTATTTTTGTCATTATTATTGATGCAAAGTGTGTAATATTTGTTTTTATGTAAATGTGTAACATTTGAGCGTATTGTTGAATTTGAATATTTTTTAATCGGGATTTAAATCTTTGAGTTATACATGTACTGTAACATCATTTTATATGTACTCATATTTGAGGTAAAAATGAAATGGGACTGATCAAATGTGTGTTAAAAAGTTTCGTTGTAATTCAAATGTCATTTCACTTAGTCAGTTTACATGGAATTTTACGAGGAAATTTACT